AGGGGGTGTAAAAAAGGAGCACATTTTCAAAAAAAAAAAAAAAAAAAAAAAAAAGATTTTAGATCAACTCTTCCGACATTTTTTGGTGTCAGTTAAAGGAATTTTCTGTTGCTTCATAGAATCACTGTGGAAAATATTAAACAGCACATAGAGATGGTCTAAAACACTATGAAGGTCTTATGTGAATTATATAATTCATCTTCAGAAAAAAGCCACTTTATATTCTGTTAGTCCATTTTATAGATGAGGAAATTGGGACTTGTGGTTGTATAGCTGAGAAGTAACAGAGGCATTTTACTTATAAAATAGAAACAAGCCTCAGGAATGAATGGATGAGTGGAGATAAATATATACTATATATAAGTGGATATTTGTAATATTCATATGAATAAATAAAATAACAATTTTAAACTTACAATGGAATTATGTCCCAATAAACTCTTTGTAAATTGAAAATACAAGTTGAAAATGCATTTAATATATATGTATATAGCATACTGAACATCATTGTTTGGTCTGTTTTAAACATTCTCAGAACACAGTCCCTGCAGTTGGATAAAATCATCTAAAACAAAGCCCATTTTATAATAAAGTGTTAAATACCTAGTGTAATTTATTGACTATTACACTGAAAGTTAAAAAAGAACAGTTATAGGGGTATGCTTTCCCACCATCATAAAATGGAAAAATCTTAAGTTAGAGCATCATAAATCAATGTATTGATATACGTTACATATACATACATATGTATGTATCATGAGCTTGAGACATAGATTATTTGCCTTTTGAAATGTTTATGGAGTCTGGTACTTGTCATAGTTGCACATAATGAGTGCTCTTTAATAATAACCAGAATATAATTTTCTTCTCGGAAAATATTATCTAATAACTTAAAGATTGAGTAATACTTCTTCATAAGGATATAGTGCCTGAGTAGTTCATATGTGTTGTGCTTATAAGTGTACCAAGTTTTCCTTTGCATTTTGCAGACATGTTGGTGTCCATAGGCACTCCTCATGCTGTAGTTTGTAATATATTTTTTTTGTACCAGGGATTGAACTCTGGACCTTGCACTTGTGAGGCAGGCGGCGGAACTACTGAGTTAAATCCCCGGCCCTATAGTTTGTAATTTTACTTTTGTTTAACTTTCCTCCATAGGAATTCTAAGACAATAATGAATTCTTGGCACCCTCAGAGTAAAAGATGATAACTTCTAAGAAACCTACTTCCTGTAGAACTCAGTTTTTTAAGCAAGATGTAAGTGTATAGTAGAATAGGGACTATCTATAAACATTAGCCACTGTCATGGATGAAGGTACTGGATCAGTATTTGGAAGGCAGAGGGGACAGTATGCTCATTTGGCATAACCCTTTTGCTTCACAGTGAGAGTCCCTAATACAGTGAGCCAGTTCGAGTCGGTGGGGCAAAACAGTATTCAAGAGCCGCCATAATGGAGAGCATAAGGGAGGGGGAGTTGTTTTATAGCCGTTTAACTAATTTTTGCATAAGTTTGGTCCCTATAAAGGAAAAAAAAGCACATTAGAATGTGGTTACTTTAGTCTATGAATAGAAAACATTCTTAAACTAGAAAACTATCTGAATTTTTTAAATTTCTTAAGGAGCTTGATAACTTTGTGTTCTTTTCCCAGCTCTCATACGAACTTTAAATGCTTTATATTTTGTGCAATAAACTGAAGCCTTAAAAGCTCTAGAAGTGCTTAACGTTATATTCTTCGTTACGTTTCACAAATCAGATACCTCATTTATAGCTTACTCATTTTAGTTATGCTATCTTACATTTTAATCTAGCTTTATTTCAGTGTTTATTTTGCTGATTCTTGGTTATTTCTTATGCTTGTCCACTAATTCATACTATAACTTACTTTTATATTTGTAGAAAGTTTTTGATAATTTTCTTCTAGTTGGAATCCCAGTGCAATTTGGAGTGTCAAATTTGTCCCATGCCCAGTCTTAGTTCTCAGTCTGCTTTATTGGATTCATTACCTACTTGTAGAACCAAATGAATTCCATTCTTTGTTCCCTTCCTCCACTCCTTCCCTCTTCCTCCTTCAGAATGGCCAAAGTTTGTTAGACCTCCTGATTTTATCCTTTAAATGGTATTATTTTAAATTTTAGTAAATCAAATTTCTAATTTCTTACTGAGAAAAAGATAAATTTCTGTGTCTTACCGTAGAGGCAGGATTTAAATTTTGTAATATTTAAGTTTTTTATCAATACATGATCTGTTAAATATGCAGTAAAATTACTTCACATCTCAAACTAAAACTTTTCATATTGTTTTTAGCACTTTTCTTAAATGCAAAAACAAAGTTTAACATTTCCTTATTAAAATGCAAAGCTCAGTGTCTCTAGCCTTTTGAAGAGCTTTTGTCCATTATATAATCTGTAAGGTAGCCAAGAGTTCCTCAGAAGCAGGGCATCACTTAGATATAAAACAGTTATGGCTTATGTGTAAATAATGATGTGGCATAACCATTCATGGGGTGGCAGCCACAGTTTTACTTTAGTGCTAAAGTCCGTGGATACCACCAAGTTTCATTCACTTTGAAGACTTTACTAACATTCCCTAGAGTGACAATGGTTAGGTTAGTTTGATTTAACTAGATAAAGTTAGTATGACTAGAAAGGAAATGACACAGTTGTGAGCCATAGACCTTTTTATTTTTTCCCAGATGTTTGACAATGTAAACATACATGAAATACATATTAAAGTTTAGTTGCTTATGTTTTGTGCAATGAATTGAAGCCTTAAAAAGAAAAAATTTCATTAAAAAAGAAACTCATTAGTTTTACTTAAGACAGTAAAATAGCAGCAAGTACCAAGACATTGTGCACTTCTTTTATTTAAGACAAGTTACTTCATTTACATCAGAGTCAGAAATGTGAGACTGTCTTTCTTGAATACTTAATATAGCTTGAGTCACTGGTTATAGATAAGGGTATATTTACCCACTGTACATCAGGGAGAAGTGCTTTCATTAGTTTCAGAAAATATTAGTTTCAGAAAATGCAGACCCTTAAACAGCCAGCATGAATACAGCACTGAGCATTAAGAAAAATGAAGCATTTACTTTCCAAACATTTGCCACAGAAGGCAAGTGAGTCTTTACATTTGCTGTTGTTTCTTCCCTCCGTAAGTTAAGGGTTGTGCTTTGTTGAAACATTTCAGAAAAATTATTTGGCATGCCACTAGTGATACTTAGGGTCATAGGTGTTGTGGATGACTTTGTTGCTCTAGTCAAGCTTTTATCTGTAATCATTCCATCTTGGAGATGAATCGTTAGAGTTGCAGCTGCTGCTTCACGTGAATTGAACGTTTCTGTGGATGTATCTTCTGGATAGGGCACCAAAGCCTTATCAGTGCCAGTAAAAGTAGTGTCTTTGCTTAGTGTGACACCAAACGTTGTTTCCTTTGTTCGATACTGTTTGGGTATTTTGGTCACTTTGGGTTGAGTTACCATACTTAGAGAGTTAATGGTGTCCACTGTCTGCATCCCGCTTACAGTGAATGAGCTTGAGATAAATCCAGAAGGTGTGGGATATGTGTTATGTTCCTTCATAGATGATGTTTGTTTAGAACAAGGAGTCCCTATCACATGGGCTTTTGTTTCCATCATCCACTTCAATAAGTAAGTAATGTTTTGTTTATAGTCACAGGACCACCTGTTATTGTGAAGTGTTATCTCTTTCAACTGTACAAGTTGGTCAAAAGATTGATCTGGAATGAATGTGAACTTATTGTTGTGCAGGTAAAGATGTGTGAGATTTGTCAGATTTATTAATGTTCCTGGAAGGATTTGTGTCAAGGAATTATTAGACAGGTCCACAATATGTAGTTTGGAGGGCATGTTGGTTGGAACTGTCCAAAGTTTGTTACTGCTGAGGTTGAGAACCTCAAGACTTCTTAGTGTATTTTTAATGAGGACCACCTTTTCCAGCATATTTTTAGAAACATCCAGATATTTAAGATTCCACTGATAAGCAGTATCAGATTTATCAAGAAGTTTAATGTTGTTGTTAGCAGCAGACATGTTCCAGAGAGACCGAGGTAACTGAGAGGGCAGGCTTTCAAGCCTGTTGTTTGAAATGTCCAGGGTCCTCAGATTGGTATACTGAGTTAATTGGTTATGCAGATCAGTAAAGTGGTTATAAGACAGGTTTAAATATATAATATTCTCTTGCAGTCCAGTTGGTAATGTAGTCAAATTTCTGCCTGAACAGTCCACATGCCTGTGCCTCTCTGTGCATATACATTGGAGAGGACAAATGCATAAAATACCAGGTGTGAGAAACAGAAGGATGAACAGGCAAGGAGACATTTTCAATATTTGATATTCCATCAAAGCCTAGAAACAAACAGATATACCCGTCTTTTAATATGCAAAAACAATTTAAGCATCTGCATGGGTCACTTAGCATTAGGCAAAATTTTCAATAAACCTCCTTGTTGTTGAGTCCTTTTATAATTGTTCCAGTGATTAAACTAACAAAGCTCCCCTTCATTTATAGTCCAAATGCCTAATCCTTCAGTTGGGGCTATGTAGTAGAGAGAGATTCTTTCCTCCTACCCTTTCCTGCATTTTCTCCTTTATTTTCTTCCTTTTTTTACCATATACTTTTTTATTCATCTTCTCAGAGTCTTAGTATGATAAAAAAATAGGATTTTCTGCAAATAAAGAGTTGTAGTCCTAGCTATTACTATTTTTGAGAATATGCTTTCATACTCAGGAAAAATGGCTGTCGTATCTTTTTTTAATCTCTGCAGTAAAATTGAAGGTTTGTAGGATGAAATTTTATTTAGATATTAAAACACTTCTTTGAAATTTCATCTTTTTAAGGATCAATATATCCCTGTAAAAACATTATAAGGCACTTGAAAAATTCAGACCAACACCATGCCTTTTAACCTCACATTTTTGTGAAGTGATTTTTCTGTATATTTCAGCATTAATTCTAAACCAAAACAATATATATGTGTATATATTTATAAAGACAACGAATATTGAAAAGAAAACCCTTAAAATGATACTGCAGCAAATTTCTGGTGCATGCATTTGCTATTGAATATATATTCAATCCTAACATTGACTTTTCCTTAGAAAAAGAAAAAAAAAAACCAAAATCGGTCTTTTACTGATATAAATAACAGCTTACCGTAGTGTTGTCTTCAACATCAGCATCTCATTTTCTCTGGGAAACTTGAAGCTTAGAGGTCGTCTTGTTCTGGAGAGTGGGAACGGTTTCTGACTGTGGGCTGTGCTTGCCTGCTCAGCTGCATTGTGTTGCTGTGAGCCGAAGCTCTGCAGCCACCTGATCAGAGCCACATAGGAGGACTGCAGAGCCGTCATTGGTGCTGACTCAAATTTATTTCAAGCAACAAAATGGACAATTTTTTTAAATTTATGGCATTGAGAGAACCTGTATAGCTTGGATTTGCTATAGGATGGAATATCTCATAACAAATTAGATCTAGCCTTTACTCCTTTCTATATTTATCTGAGCCTAGGTGTTCCACATTTTAACATTTTCTTCATTAAGAAACTAAGGTTCTTTTTAACGTCTGTCCAGTCTTTTTACAGGTTGAGAAATGTGGAAAATGGATTTGACCTTCCTTGTGGATAGCTAAGATACTAATTTAACTTTTAAAATGTCTTTTTATGTTCTTTTCTAAAATGGTACGATTTTTATGTCACCTTTTAAAATACCATAATACAGTCTGCGTGATGTGTTTGTCCTCCCTCACACCATGATAATTACTATATTTAATCATCTTTTCAAATTTGTAAACCACTTAAATGTTTCATTTTCCCTTTTAGGAGGTACAGAAGTAATTGGTTAAGATTATTTTGTCTTCATCCTTCTGATACAAAAGATCATTTGAATAAGACTATAGACGTGCTAGGTGCGCGCGTGCTCTCTCTCTCTCTCTCTCTCTCTCTCTCTCTGCCTCTCCCCCCTCCCTCCATCCCTCCCTCTCCCTCTCCCTCTCTCTATATATTTATTTATGTGTGTATATATATATTTTTTTTTCAATACTGGGGATTGAACTCAGGGTAGGCTGCATTTAAAATGAGCATCTTATGCTTTCCATTTTCAGCTCCTGTGCTAATACAAACTTTTCTTTTACATGTTCTAGGTTAAATAATTTTCAGTCTTAATGAAGTTCACCATGAATATTGTTTTTTTTCCATAGATGTTTTTGGTACTAAATGAATGACTATTTATTTGTATGTTTTAAAAAATATTATCAATTTCAGATGGGTTCTTCAGAGTGTTTTAATGTTTGTTTCTGAAAAAGTTTACGGATTCAAAATTACATGAAGTACTGTAAAAGAGAAAACTCATAAAATGGGATCAAATTGTGAAGCTTTCATTCTACCTTTTAGTGAACTGTGTAAATCTGTTAAAACTCAAATCTAATTTCCAGAATGACTAGTTTTCTTTAGAAACAAAACCAAGTAAAGTAACGGCATGTCATTACCAAATTGTCACCATTTGAAAATCAACAATTATTAGCGCATTACATTAAGGACAACCCTTTTATGTTTAACTACTATAAGTGCTTTGGTTTTCTCTAAATTTCATTTAGCAGTATTTTAACTATAACCCCACAATAGTTTATTACATTAAAACTTTTAGTTTATTTTGTTAGGGGAGAAACTATACCCTAGAAGTCTTTTGTAAAACTAATATTCCTCAGGCCTGGAATTTAGCTCAGAGGCATTGCACCTGCCTCGCAAGCTCAAGGTCCTGAGTTTGATCCCTAGTACCAAAACAAAACAAAACAAAAAAAGCCCTAATGTTCCTCGAAAAGTATCTACATTTTTTTTAAGTCTGCAACATTAGAAATTTATTATTGATTAGTTTCTTTATTGCCACTTTACTTTGAGGGTTCATTTGGACTCTAGGTTCTTTCTATGAATTTCAGAAACCAGTCAGCCATAGTGCTTAAAAGTAAATGTGTTAAAACTTTTAATAGAAATATTAATATTTTATAATATTAATAGTATATTAATTATATTATAATTAATTGTGTTATATAGTATATAGCATAATGTATTATTATATTATGTATTGTAATATAGTGATATATTATATTAATTTATAGTATTAATATTAATTTTTATAGAAATAGCAATATTTTTATAGAAATAGAGAAAGGGTTGCTTTTGGCATTTGGAGTTCTCTCTGCTCACCTATACACTGTTACACTTCACCGGGTATGACTAAAGATCAGTTTACTAAACATTTAAATTTCTTATTTTAAGGGAGCTTCATAACACCAGGGTGAAAGTAGAGCTACCCATTCTGATTACACTCACCAGTTCTTCTTTTTGTTTTGTTTTGTTTTTTGAGACAGCGTCTCACTATGTAGTTGAGACTGACCTGGAACTCACTATGTAGCCCAGGCTGATCTTGAACTCACAGCGATCCTCCTGCCTCAGCCTCCTGAGTGCTGGGATTACAGGTGTGAGCCACCACACCCAGCACCAGTTCTTTCATTTGAAAGAAAAGACATGGGGCTGGGGATATGGCTCAGTAGTAGAGCACTTGCCTATCATGTGTGAGGCTCTGGGTTTGATCCCCAACATGACCCACACACAGAAAAAGGACATATTTTACATTATTAACTAATGAATCTGTGTTTATTCTGTATCAGGATTAGATTCAGCTACATATAATATAAAATTCTAATATAGTATCAATAACAGTTTCTCATTTCAAGTTTGAGAATACACATTTTGCTTTATATTACTTAAAGATATTGTGATATTCTCAGAAAAAGGGGGATGATTTTAATATATTTGAATTATAACAGTCTGTTCTCATTTTTTAAAATTATCAAAAGTAATAGTATATTACTCAGGCATGTTGTTGCACACCTATAATCCTAGCATTCTGAGAGACTGAGGCAGAAGGATTGCAAGTTCCAGCCCCACCTAGGCAATTTATTGATTTAGCAGGGCAATTTAGCAAGACCCCATCTCAAAATATATAATTTTTTTTCCCCAGTACCGGCGATTGAACTCAGGACCTTGCACTTGCCAGATAGGCACGGTGCCACTGAGCTACATCCCTGGCCCAAAATATATAATTTTTTTCAAAATATATAATTTTTAAAGGGCTGGGCATGTAGCTCATTGCAAAAGCACTGGGTTCAATCCTCAGTACTACTACTACTACTACTACTACTACTACTACTACTACTAATAATAATAATAAATTAATGTTACGCCAAAAATTATTTTTAGAGGTTTAAATTGTTGCAGCTTTTCTTAGATGCTATTCAGACACATTAACTACATTTTAGGTAAGTATGCCAAGGTTAAGAATTACACCTATTTTGGCAACTATTCTAAATTAAGCAGTAATTTAGTCTACATGTTCTTTTGTGTCCTAGGATATATAATTCCAGCATTGTGAAAGATAAACTACATGCCAGGCAGTGACTTCCTATTTTTGTTTTTGTAGTACTAGGGATTTTTTTTTTTTTTTTTTTTTTTTTAAAGTCTTACTGAGTCAGTCACTAAGTTCCCCCTTCTAGGCTTGATCTTGCAACCCTCCTGCCTCCGCCTCCTAGAGTGCCGGGATTATAGGCTTGTATCACCACACCTGCTTGCTATCCCATTTAATCCAGTTGTTTTCCTTTACTATTTAGGATGGTAATTGTCTCAAATAGTGGAGAATCAAAGTACTCTCAGTTTTTTATACAGGTTGAACATCCTTATCTGAAATGTTTGGGACCAAGAATGTTTCAGATATTGGAGTTTTTGGATTTTGGAATCTGTGTGTAGATTTTATCAGTTGAACATCATTAATCTGAAAATCTAAATTTTGAAATCTTAAAAATCCAGGACCAGGATTTAGCTCAGTTCAGTGGGTTCCACCGCCTGCCTCACAGGCTCAAGGACCCAAATTGCTCCCCAGTACCAAAAAATAAATAAATAAATAAATAAATAAATTTAAGCGCTGACACAATTTTGGATTTTTAGATTAAAGATGCTTAACTTGTAAAGTAGATATTTAAAATACAATAAACTTTTAAAAATATAAAAACTGACGAAGTAGAGATTATCATATAAAAATCTAAGTGGATGTCTTACTGACTTCCCACTCCTATTTTTTTCAGTTCTTCTCTAGAATATACTTCATTCTGGATTTATCTGTTTGCTTCTTTGGAAAGATTTAGTTGTTCTTTTAGTGAGGTTTAGGGGCGCATGCCTGTAATCCCAGCACTCGGGAGGCTGAGGCAGGAGGGTCTCTGTGAGTTTGAGACCAGCCTGGGCTACATAGTGAGTTCCAGGTCAGTCTCAACTACATAGTGAGACCCTGTCTCAAAAAACCAAAAAACAATTTTTTTGGATTCATCTTTTCAGCCAATTTTCAATTTTTCCTTCAAGTTAAATTGTGCAACAAGGCATATTCAAAACATCTTGCTTCTCTGGCCCCTCTAATCATATATCCCCTCCTTCTCCCTCCTGTTGGTAACTATTTTTATTAGCTTTTGATTGAATCTTAACAGTATTTCTTTTTTGTAAACATAAAATACATATTTATGTGTCTGTATCTTTTTTCCCTTCTATAGAAAAGATTATATAGTACATATACTATTATGTAGCTTCCTTTTAATCTTCTTCTTGATAATAATGGATCTGGAAAGTCATCCCATCTCATGGATCCGTCTCATGATGCACAGATTCCATTTGGGATTGTGCCATGGTTTATTTGACCTCCATCTATCGGTAGGCATCTGAGTTGTTTCCAGACTTTTGTTATTACAAATAATGCCACAGGGAATACCTTGTGCCTGAATAATTTTATATTTTTGTCAGTGAATTTTTAAAATGCTTCTTAGAAGTATTGCTGGGTAAAAAGTTAAGAATGCATCTAGAATTTTCTCAGATATTGTAAGTTCCTCTTTATGGATTATACCATTTTCTAGTCCCATTAGCAGTGTATCGGGGTTACCTGGTTCTATATAGACTCACTGTAGACTTTGTTGTTAAATTGTATTTATATCAGTCCTATAGGTAATCAGCATCTAATGTACTTTTAAATACATCTCTAATTATGGGGAAGATTGTATATCTTATGTTTTTTAAAGAGCCATTTACATTTTTTTCCTGTGACTTTTATGTTTTGTGCAATTTTTATGTATGTTGTGAGCCATCCCTCCCATTCTCTTGCTTTGAATTGCTATTACTTTTCTAGTTTACCATTTGTCTTTTGACTTTTGTATGTTAGGTTATTTTTTCTTTGTTTTTTTGACATTTTAAAGTTTCATGTAATTGAATTTTTTTCTTTGATTGCTTCCAGATTTTGAGTCTCAGCTTACAAGATGTTTTCCTACTTCCAGGTTATTAAAGGAACTCTGCTATATTTTCTTGTATTACATGTATGATCTCATGTTTTATATTTAGATCTCGGGTCTACTTGATAATTGTTCTAATGTAGTGTGAAGTGTGGATCTAATTTTATCATATTCCATGTGTCTATTCAGTTGTCTCAGCACTTCTACTGATATGATAAATTTGAGTATTTCTGAGCTTTCTGTTCTGTTCCATTGATGTATTTATTAATTGTATAGCAGTAAGTGTTTTTATTATAGATGCCCAAGTATTTTGCTACTTTGTTTTTTATCAGAATTAGGTAATAATAATAATTAATGGTCAGACATCTGATTCATTATCTCTCTACCACTACCACCACCAAATAGAATTCTCAGTGTGTGTGTGTGTGTGTGTGTGTGTGTGTTTCAGTCCAAAGTGTAAGTTCTCAGTGGTTCTGCATCAGTGGTGTTAGACCACAAATTAGGAAGCAAACTCACCTGTGGAATTATTTCTAAGCAAATCAACTTGCTGTGTTGATTCGGTTGTTTCCAAATCTGGTTAATGCAGATCTGGTAAGAGCACCACTAGTAGTATGTGGTGTGACATCAGTCTACCTTTAATTTCCCCATGCCTTTTCTTCTTCTTGTCTGTATTCATGAAATAAACTATTCTGGATTCCTGATTCTTTAATCTTTTGTGTAGATTTTTCTTTGCTCTCCAGCATGTTTGTTTGTTACAAGGACTTGCTATGTAGTTCAGGCTGGCCTTGAACTTTCTGTGTAGCCTAGATTGTCCTCAAACTCATAGTGTGGTCCTCCTGCCTCAACCCTCCCTAGTGCTGGGATTAACAGGTGTGTGCCACTGTGCCTGGCTTGCTCCAGCATTTTTTTCTTCAATGTTTCTTTCATTAACTTCTATTTCTTCATGCTGATTAAGCAAGTATTGCCATTATTTGGCTGCTCAGTTTCTACTGATCTCACTAGGGAGGTCAGTCATTGAGTGTAGTCAATGTGAAACAGGTTTCCCTGGCAAAGACTTTCAATAAAGAGCAAAAGACAAACTTAAAATCCAGGTACTATCAAGTCTATTCTTCCATTTTCGAAAAACAGAAGGAAGAAAACTGCACGTAGAGTTTAAAAGATCTCAGATGAGACTATAAGTCATTAGCAGATGCTTTGTCTGAGAAGAGAAAGTCAGTGTTTCCCAATACCAATCTTTGAAGGTTTCAGGAAAGAAAGACAATAAAATAGAAAAAAATGTGAGAAGAGCCCTTTAGGTAGCTATTTTATGTATGAAATGGGAAGTGTTGGGATGCTTCACGGCATGTCAAAAATGTAACCAAGTATAAAAGCATTATCATTTACTCTAACTAAAATACCTAAAATTTAAAAGAATAATGAAAAATTCTCAAACTCCTGCTGCTGGGTAAGTGCTTAACGTGCTAAATCTGAAGCCAGGAAGTGGGTGTGGATTTAGCAGAGTGCTGCCATGCCTGCCTGGCAAGCTCAGTGTCCTAAATTCAGTTCCTGGTACTGGGGGGTGGGGATAGTTGAAGCCAGGGATGATGGCACACACCTGTAATCCCAGCATTTGGGAGGCTGAGGCAGGATCACCACACGTGTGAGCCCAGCTTGGGCTACATAGTGAGTTCAAGGCCAGCCTGACCTATATAGTGAGATTGTCTCAAAAAACAAAACACAGCAAAACCCCAAAAATACTAAATTTGAGCCAGGCATAGTGATGCATGCCTATAATCCCAAAAGTAGGAAGATTTCAAATTTAAGGCCAGCCTGGGTGACTTAACAAGAGTCTACCTCAAAAATAAAGGACTAGGGATTTAGCTCAGTGATGGGGTGTTTGCCTAGCATGTGTGAGCCCTGGCTTTAATCTTCAGGACCACCAAAAAAAATGCTAAGTTTGAAAAGCACATAAGAGAAACATTTTAAATGTGGAAGGCAGAAGAGAACCAATGTAATGTGATAAACATCATGCTTAGTCAGGAAAAGTAAGTAGCTCAAGGAAGTGCTCCTGCAGATAAAAAGCATTAATGGTCAGTAAGGAATGACTTTGAAGATTGAAGGGCAAGCATTGTGTCTAAAATTTCATTACGCAAAGTCCTACTGGTGTTTATTACGGGTGGGACTTTGTCTGTTTCTTGAGCACCATTGCTACTATATTCTATTCTCAAAACTCCAGAACTATGAGAGAGTCTCTAAGGCTAAGCTATCCAAAAAGCTGTGATGTTTCACTCTAAGAGATTCTTTCCCTGGAACTAAGGTGGGGTAAGAAAGGAAAATGTGTTTCTTGGACAAAGAAACACTTCTGTTCTCAGAGGCTAGCATCTGTGTCTAATGTGACCACTCTCCACCTCCACTTTGAGCAAGATTGGGCCCAACTCTACTCTAGTATTTCAGATTTATCAGTTGTCGGATAGTGGACAAAAGATAAAATTTGACATTTGTTTTAAAAGGTGGTTTAAAATGAGTTTATTGTACATGTTCATATTTTTTTCAGAGTATTCCCAACCTAACCCTCCAGTTTGACATTTTAATGTTTGTTTTACTGTTGGCAGTGAGACAAAAAAGAAAAATTTCTCCCTCTTTGAACATGCATTTTAATCTCATCCCCATAAATTTGGAGTATTTATTTAACACTCACAATATTAACTTGAAACTTGGGAGTATGTATTTAATCTCTTTTCCTTGCCACCCCACACTCTGAAATGGAAAAATACGGTTTTATGTTTTCAGAATAAGTGTATCCACAGCATTTCACAGAAAAATCTATTGGGTAATAAGTACACATAGATTTCTTATTTCCAAACAAGGTTAAATTATTGACATTTATACCATCTACACATGTAAAATATACTGTACTTGAAAGATATTCACTGTAGCTAGTAAATGCTTCACTGTTAATATAATTTTTTAATTCCTCTTATACACATGGGCTTTAAGCAGATTTCAGATAGTTTCTGTATAAAAATCAAAGTTGGCTGGCATTTATCATTTTATGTACTTTATCACATGAAGAAGAAAGGATGGAGATATTTAAGGATAAAAGTTTGGCTAAAAAGCAAGTTGTAATATTTATAACAGTTCTGCAGGTGGTGGTGGCAGGGATTTGTTAAGATCTTGATCGGAGTCAAGAGGAATAGAGAACTCCTGACACTGAATCTCGTTGGAATCTTGAGTTTTTACAAAATCTGCTTGTGGTGGGGGCAAGCTAAATGACTCGGGGGGCAGTGGAAATGACTGTTCAGTATCGGAATTAGGATCTTCACAGGCTTGATTTAGACCTTCCAGAGATGGTTGGAGATTGGTAAAATCATTTGGAAGAGGAGATAGAATTATCATCGTGGGTTTGTCAGATTGGCTACTGTCCTGTCCTTCCAAATCAAGAAGAGGAGTTGGCAGAGGCAGATCTGTATCATCCGAAGAAGAAACAGCAGTACCAATTGTTGACCCATCAGCACTGATCTCTGATGTATCATTTACTTGATATTTTATTTTCTCTGTTTTGGGGTTGTTGGCATCTTCAATGTTTTCACTTGATTCAAACAACTTAATTTCTAAGTCATCTGCTAAAAGTGTGCTTTTGTTTGGTTTCCAAGTCTTGAGTGAAACAATTGATGTACGTTTTGTGGAAAGTTCATTTTCTCTAATGTTATCCATACACATGTCAGGGGTTTCTCCATCAGCAAATGGAGACCTGCCTGCCCAATTATGATCATTTAAAACTGGTTTTCTCAAGCATTTCCATAGTACAATCATGATTATAGCTACCAACATAAAAGTCAGAACTGTACCAACAAATATGGCAGCTGTTGATCTGTAATCTGTTTTTTTAATAACTTCTTTGTTACTGGTAGTTTCAAAAATAAATCCTGGTGTATTCCTAGGTAAGTTTTTGACTGTTGATATTGGCCACGTGGATAGATTACCAAAAGTTGGTGGTACTGGTTTTCCAGAAGAAGTATGAACAGGTGATGATGATTGTTGAGAGGAGGGAGGGTAGACAAATGGTGTTGATGGTTGTCTGGTGGAAGTGTAGGCAGAAGATGGTAGCTCTCTGGCAGAGGTGAATGCAGGCAGTGCTTTCGATGGGAAGGAGGTGTTGGCTGTTGGTATTGGTTGTCTGGTGATGTTGTAGGCAAGTGGCTTAGCAGAAGTGTGAGCTACTGGTTTTCTAGAAGAGACAGAAATAGTTGGTGTTGATTGTCCAGCAGTCTTGGCAGGAGACGTTAGTTGTCCAGGAGAAATGTTACCAAATTGTGTTGGTTGACCCAAAGTATTCCCTGTTGTGTTTTGAGAATTAGCTGAGACATACAACGATGATGTAAGTAAAGTAGACTGTGGCTTCTCTGTTGTGATTGTTTCTGTGTTTGAGAAAAATGTATTGTTTGGGTATCCAAAAAACAAAATTAAGATGAAATATTTGGGATCCATTTCAGAATGTTTCCTCCTTACCAGTGGTTTTATAATAAAAAAAAGAAAGACAATTAAGTGTCATTTGCTATCTAGTTACATTTGACCTTTTATTACAATGTCTGGCATAAAACAGGTAGTTGCCTGATTAGTATTTATTCCCTATTACTCTTGACACACTGTAGACCCATGTGAATGACTTTTGAATATACTACAACTCATCCTGTAGCATCTGGACTCCCTGGACAGTGCCCTCTTAATTCTTTTACAAGATCTGTGGTTGGCCATGCAATCCTCAGTTCCCAGCTTCCTTACATTACTCATCTCACATCATACTTGTCAAATGCACGGGCTCAGTACACTCAGTGTAAGTCCATGCGCTCTTTACTTTTTTCATTCTGTAGTACTAAAAATGTATTTACTTTGCTGCTTTGAAGAATACCAGGGACAATCTGTTACCATAATACAGTTATCTCTACTTCTCCTTTGTTTTCCTTCTTCAACATTTGACACTATTGACTGTTCCTTCACTGTTATTTTGAGTATATAATATAATCTATCTTTTATCTGTTTGTATCGTAATATATCTTTCATGTCACTTTCACTAACTCCCTTTTTGCTGCCTCCTACATAAAGATACTTAATGTTTAGTTGACTCCCTCATCTTTCTTGTTCCTAACTCTAAAAAATTTGATTCTCACCTTTATGCCATTACTCCCAAACCTGTACATTCAGCCTAAATTTATCTGTTCTAATTCCATTTGTAGATTTTTGGTGGACAGTCTGTGTATATTCCACTATTAGCAAATTCAACATATTTAAGATGGAATTCATCTGTACCTCAAGACTGATTCCCAGGAGTCACAAGTTCTATCCCAGCCTGGGAAATGCAGTGACTTAGTGAGAACCTGTCTCAAAATTTTAAAAAGTGTTGGAAATGTGCCTCAGAGGGAAAGCCCTGAGTATAAAATTTCACACACGCACACGCATGCACGCACATGCGCACACACATGCCTTCCTCTAGCAAACTTTCTTTTTCTGTTAATCATAGCAAGATTCATGTGCAGAGTCTGCAGTGTCCCTAACCCTTGCACTCTCCATGGTGTCTAGTACTCTGCTATTACCTTAATAGTCCCATACTTGTAGATGAGAAGACCCACTTCAGTCCTAGGCTCACAATCATAGAGTGACCTCTGAATCTGGTGAAATCAGCCTTAGCCAGCTGGTTGAATAAGCCTGCTGCTACTTTCATGTATCAATAAGCACTGTCTTTATGTCAGGCTCTCTTCTAGGTTTAGGATATTTAAAAGAGAAGAAGAAGGAAGAAGGGAAAGGTAGATTGGTTGGTGGCTTCAGGTATTCTAGATTCTTGTGGCAGAAATAAACAGGTTAAAAAATAATAATATTAATTTGGTATTTTTCCTTGAAGAGATATTCAGGAGGGGCCCAGAGGAACTAATCTAGCCTAGGAGAGCTTCAGAGGAGGTTAGCCAGAGAAGTAAAATTGGAACTGAATCTTAAAAGGTTTGTTAGAACTAATTAAGCAAATAAATATTCTAGCCAGGAAGAACATGGGCTCAGGAAAGGAAGGCACATTTGTAAGTATGGCATGTAGGGGCTTTCATATAGGCAGATGATAAAATTTGAAGAGTTAAGTTCCACATTTTACCTATTCCTGTACCACCTAAGTGTCTACATAATCATGAGAAATAGTCACTTAATCTCTCTTCTTACTTGCCTTATATCTAAAGTGAGGAATTTACTAAAAAAACTCGAAGTCCCGAGTGTAATACACTTATTTTGCATGTCACCAGGATGTTCCATCCTCAGGTACGTGATAAGAAACCATAGTTTTTCTGTGAGTCATAGCACAATCTAAGGGATTTGATGCTCCATTGCAAGATACAATAAGAAGTTTTTAAATTAATAGACTTTTCACCTTATTTAAGTAATTTTCTTTTCTTTTCCCTTTCCATCTAGTAACACAGTAGTGATAAATAGACCTATTTCAGTAGAAGAAAAAGTGTTTTCCTTGTTGTGTCTCTTCCTTTGTTCTTCTCTTTAATACTTAGTTCTCCTTTGGACTGTTCACTGTGGATGAATTACTCTTAAAAGCATGACATGGTCTGGTTAGTAGTCCTTTGTTTGAGGTTTCCCTGTTACTATCCAGGTTAAACTTCTAAACTTAGTTTTCTTCCTTGCAAGATTTCTAAACAAAAACTTTTCACACTTTTAATTTTGCCATTTTTACCCTCTTGAGGATTTTTTTCCCCTAAATCTACCTTCTTTCCTCTTCTGATTGTATGTGTGAACCTGTCTTCACCTTACAGGCTTCAGTTTAAATTTCCCATCTTAAACCAAGTTCTCTGTGACAGACCACAGCCCAAAGAGATTAGCAATTCACTAACTCTTCATAATTCATAGTCTTTATAGTGCCATGGATAATTCTTCATATATGTACCTCACTCATACTTTAATCTTCTAAATAATTATTTTATTGCTTAGCTTTTCATATTTTCTTTTTGTTATTCCCATCCCACTCAAACAAGATTATAAAGAATTTTAAAAGGGCAGAAAGAAATAAAGAATAATATTTATCTAGAACATACCATGTGCTGTACTTTCCCATGTATTTTATGTATTTTATTTAATTTGACCTTTAAATAGTTCTGTGAGGAATGGCTCCTTGATTTACAAATAAACAAATTGAAACAAGAATTCTACTAGAAGGTAAGCAGAGGAGGTAAAATATAAGTAAATTCTGGTTTTTTATCCATTTTGCAAAAATATTTAAAAAGGAAATTTTTGAAACTTTTGGCATAGATATGGGGAGAGATTTGAATCATCTGTTTGTGGTCATCATCCATGCGTTTTCAACCTTCTATTTTTATAGATGACAAAAAAATAGACTTTGTTAGAAAATGTTATTCAGTATTTTACTTTTTAAATATTTTTGAAGGAACTTTCCAAAGTAACAAAAGATATAGGCCATGTTTTATCTACAGACAAAAATGTTTCCTCTTTTGTGACTTTGCTTAAAATAAAGAAACCATATAGTTCCTCCTTTTAGTGAGCTGAAAAAGGCAGTAGAGGAGGAAAGAGCTCAAGTAAGAACCTAAGTATAACCCAGTTTAGTTTGTAAGACGAATTATGATAGATTCATATCCTCTTATGTCAATAGGAAGTTCATAGAGGCATCACTGTGAGAATTTCACTTGCCTTTTAAGGCTTGCAGAGATGTTAAAACCAAATTATGTTTTGTACCTGTCCTTCTACTTTGTCCCACTCTTCCGTTAGCTGTTTAACTTCTCAGAATCTGCTACATCAAAATACTAGAATCTGTTAGATCTTACAGCAGCAATTCAAAATACTGCAGAAAAGAGGCAGCAAAATTTAAAAGAAGTAGGGAATATAATTGTGGGAAAAACTGCCTTTTTTCCATAGGTAGAAAGCCAGTGTTACTACCAGCAAGGAATGTTATTTAACATATATGTTTTTAAATATGTAAGTGATATGTACCTGAAGTACACAGTTACTGGAGTGTTGGATGGTGAGCCTATAAGCTATTGTATTGAGTAAGCTTCTGAAAATTTTGTGGCTTTTTTTTTTCTTTTTTAAGAGTGGACATTGAAAGGCATAAGATTTATGTTTAGCAAACTCAAATTTACTCAGAATTGGTAATTTACTTCTCAGAATTAGGTAGTAATTACATAATTGAAAACAAACACTATTATAAACTTTAAATTTGTCACTAGATAAAACAATTAAAATTTTATTTTCTGGTTTCTGTAATAGTTAAGACACAATTCAAGATGGACTGCCCTAAGAGAAAGTCAAGTATTTCTGAACTGTTGAGATAGAGTATAACCCACTGTGAATTTATTATTCCTTAAAATTGGTTCTATATAAATTCTTTTTAATTAATTCTGTATTTTTGTTTGTTTGAGATAAGGTCTTGCTGGGTAGTTCAGACTATCCTTGAACTCACTGTATAGGTCAGTTCAGGCTGGACTCGAACTTGCAGTGATTCTCCTGCCTCAGCCTCCCAGGTGCTGGTGTGCACCACCACACCCAGAAAACTTTTTATTTAGAAGACAAACTCACTTTGTAATTGTCCAGTTTTCTCACAGAGTAAGCACCTTCTATGTACATGAACAGTTTTCTATTATTTATTCTGTAAATGTTTTTCCTATATCATACACTCTGCTAAAGAGTCAAAGAAAAATATTGCCATAAATATGTACATGATGTGAATATATGTGTATATTCTATCATAACATTTTTGTCTTAGGGAAATTTTTAAATGAACTGTAATATTTTCATATCATTATTAAATATGAATTTTATTTGTATAAAAAATAGACAGTAGCCAGGCATGGTGGTGCATGCCTGTAATCCTAGCACTCAAGAGGCTGAGGGCAGGAGGATTGCCAAAGTTTGAGGCTAGCCTGGGCTACATAAGTAAAGGCCAGCCTGAACTACAAAGCAAGACCCAGTCTCAATCAGTCAGTCAGTCAGTACACAGCAATGATAATTGAGTACCACATCTATTTTTTTTTAAGTTAAGGTGAAAGTAACCATTCTTCCCATGGAAGATAAAGGAGGTTTAAAAAATAAAATTATAATTTTTCCCCTGTGTGAGGGATGGAACCCAGGGTCTCATGCATGACGGACAAGTTTTCTACCACTGTGTGTACCAGCCCCTAAAAATTTTAACAGTTAATAGTTGGAAGTTTTAAATTGAGTCATAGTCCATGGAATATAGTTTTATATCTAAAACCCTTAACTTTATCTGCCATGATGATAGTTTTCTTAATACAAAACTAAACCAACATTTTGATTGAATTAATTTCAAAAGGCATATTTAAAACCTAGATGAAAATCTTACTCTAAGGCAAGCTCATTGAATTTTTTAAAAGTTCCATATAGTAAAACCATAATAACCTGTTAGATACATCTTTAAACCATGAGTAGTTGAGTTAAAGTTTAAAACAACAATGATGCTTTACTCTTTAAAATAAATTTTATATAAAGCAAAAATTAAACCAGATGTCTTGTAGAAAAATTTCCTTACCTGTTACCTTCTTTCTCAGAATGCTAAATTCTTGTTCTAACAGGACATGTTGGTGATTTGGCTAAAAAAGCAAAAGGGGTGGTTCGATTCAGATTAAAAATGGTCCCTTAGCACACTGAAAGGGTTTCTGTGGCACAGAGGAAGTTTGTCAGTAGCTGTTGCCGGAAGTGCAATAAGCCACAAGATGACTATGAAATGTACTACTTTAACAGAACTTATTTTGAAATACAATGTATATGATTGGAATGCTTTTAATTAATATTTGTAAGTAAACATTTGAGACCCTCTGTGATTATGTAATTTAAATATTTAGAATGGAGCCCTGAAGAAAAATTATGCATTTAAAGGAAAAGCTGCCACCATTTGGTTACTACCCATAGTGAGACCCACCCACCTACCACCTTCACGCTAAGCTACATCCTGAGCCCTCTTTTTATTTTGAATTTTGCGACAGGGCCACCAAAAGTCACTAAATTGCCCAGGCTAGGCTTGAACTTGCAAACCTCCTTCCTGAGCCTCCCAGAGGGCTGGAATTACAAGCATATACCACCATATCTGAGATTTCTTATTTTTAGAAGTAAATTTTGTGTTCTGTTTATTTGTATGACCTTAGGCAAGTTGTTGCACTTCTGAGTCACCATTTCCTTCTCTGAAGAAATGTTTCCTTTATTAGATTGTTATGAGTTTTAAGAAAGATATCTAAAAATGCCTCATACATGGGCAGGTAACCAGTAAATCCTTATGGTATTTCCTCATTCAAAAGCCCAGGATAGGCATAGTTAGATTCTTTCTTTCTTTTTTTGTGTGTGTGTGTGTGTATGTGTGTGCGTGTGCTCTCCGAACTCAGGGTTCATGAATACTGGGCAAGTGCTATATCACTGAGCTACACTCCTGCCCCCAAATACTTTTTTAAATAAGAAATTAAGTTAAGTACATTGAAAAGACTATGAGTCTGAGTAAAAGTTTGTTTGGTTTTGTTTTTTGAGTCAGGATCTCATTGTATAGCCCAGGCTGGCCTCAAATTCATAGTGATCCTCCTGCCTTACTTAGCTTCCCAAGTGCTAGGATTATAGGCGTGTGCCACCACATGCAAGTGTGGCAAGTCATCTTTTGAAAAAAATGGAAATTGTAACTCCTAATTTATAAGTACAATATTGGATTAAACAAATATGAAATGCCTTGCATAGTGCAAGTTATAGTAGATAACATAAATATCAACCCGTGTGTGAGGAACACAGATTATTATGACCCAGTTCTTCAAGATATTTAAAATTTGGTACAAAAAGAATAGCAGAATAAAATAAAAATGTTGCAAAGTTTTTGATTCACTGTTTTTAAATCCCTGAAGTAAGCGTAATACAAGGAAGTAGAAAATAATTCCTTTATTCAAAAATAACATAAAAGTTTGAAATCAAAGATTTCATATCTATCATGTTCAAATACCTGTCAAGTTTGGATAGGAACCACTTCTGTTATTTGTGAACTATCATTGGGTGTTAATCTGAGGCTGTGTTAATAGCTAGTATGATGAATAATGAAATTTAAATATTCCTGGAGCAGCACATAAAAGCTCTCTGGTAAGAAAATGTTTGACCAGTATGTTGAGTATGAAAGTAGTTTCCTTGTTAATTTATTACTTTTACAAATATACTGTTTTTTTTTCTTCTGACAAAGTATTTATTTATGACACTTGATTCAAGGAAGACTTCCCACTGTGTTCTGGTACACACACCCAGAATTTTAATTTTTACTTAAAATGGAAACACTGTTCAAATTCCTTCTTAATCTGGGCCATTTTATTCCTCAGAAGATAATCTGATATTACCAGGATTGGCATGAGTATTCTCATGTTTTCCTCTTTACTTTGTTGGCATTTAGCTTCATCTGGAATAATATGGCCATGATTTATTATTTAGGGAATATATATATACATACATACATATATATATATATATATATATATATTTTACAATTTGATAATAAAATTGTGTCTCCCATGCACACACATTTTAAGATGCAACCTAGATGTTTAGAGCCATAGAATATATAAAAATTGAATTTGACAGCCAAAAGCAGTACCATCTAGGAAATAATATAAAAGTTACAGTCCCTAGAACTCATCCCATTCTGATTAGAATCAGGAGTGCATGGGAATTAGACATTGGTGACTTTTCTTCATGTAATTTTTGATAGGTAGCCAGGGTGAGAACCACTAATCAAGAGGTAGTAAGATTATAGTCATGGTCTTTTCTTAAATTACTAGCATATTGCACAGAATAAATTCTTAAAGAGATAAGATTTTTTTTAGATGTAAGTTAAGACTTTCATTAGTGTGCCCTCCCTATTTCAGTAGATATTTGGAAAGTCTCTCAAAGCAATTTTTGGGGGGACAGGGTCTTGCTTTGCAGTCCAGGCTGCACTATGAACTCACTGTGTATCCCCGGCTGGCCTCAAATCCTCAACAGTCCTGTCTCAGCCTCCCAAGTGCTGGGATTACAGGTGTGCCCACCACACCCCGCTTCAAACCAATTTTTGTAATATATCTAAGTGAAGATCTTGACTTGAACGTAACTCCATATTTTACTTGAAGTCAGTTTCTTAAAAGGTTAGGGAATTGCCTTGAAGGATCCTGTTTTCCATACTTGAAAAAATAGACAAATGCACATGCTCACACACCACATACACAGACGCACACTTTCCTCACTTTTGCTCATGTCACAGTGGACATTAAGGAATAAAATCGGTCATTAATTAAGGCACTTGGCATCCTTGAAGTCCAAATATTAACCAGCCTTAAGTTACTTGTTATCAATGCTCCAGTATGCAGTATGTTTACAAAAGATGAGCAACTGCAATGGCTCACTCTTGTAGTTGGTCCTAGTTACTCAGGAAGTTGACACAGGAAAATCATGAGTTCAGGTCTACCCTAGGCAACCTGTTAAGACCCCTACTTCACAAAAGAATAAAATCATTTAAAAAGCCCAAAATTATGAAAAATCTGGTATGGCTGTAAATCTCTATTTTAGTTGTATTGCATCTTATTGATCTTCACAGTGTACTCTTAAGATAATAAATTGAATGCACATATATATATATATATATAGTATATATACACATATATATATAGTCACAGATTTATCTAATGAGTTTAATTTATTATACAAAGTTAAGTTTTAATATTTATAGTAGAAAAGCACTTTCTTATGTGTGCCACATGTTAATTGAATGCATGTAGCCTAAAGTTAGCTTCAGTGGTACATGAGCTGGTGTGGATTCTGCCATATCCAACAAAGAAGGTACTGTTAAATTCTACAGCTCAACTTCACACGTTAGGAGTTTGACTTCTATTTGATATTGAACCATGTGCTTGTCTCTCAGGACATACTAAGACCTTCAAAGTTCAATTACTTTCAGACAGAGACCATCTAACTACTCTTGCTGAATAGGGAATGTTTAACCCTTGCTATCTCTTTTACGTAGTTTCCTCAACTTAGTTTTAAGAACTTCCCCAAATGCTTGGTTGTATCTTTTTCAAAGTATTCAGCGTTAAGCAGAAATACACAATTAAGTAATTAAGTAAGCAGACATACATCTCCCTTTTGATGCTAAATCATCTGACGGCAGTCTGGCATTAAATACCAAACTGACTTCCTTTTATATTCATAACCTTTCTCATTACTACTTTGCATTTTTTTTCTTCCCTGAAATATCTGTTAATCAGAAAGTTTTTCGGTTCCTTCTTCATCTTTTCTTTCCCTTGTAACTGTGAGCACTCCAGTAGATTGCATCATGAGACTGGGCCCTGTGAGCTGTTTAGCTCTTTTCCAAGTGTCTGATTCAGCAGGCCATAGCCCACTGCTTGCCAGAAAGTCACCATTGCTTCTAGGCTGACGTTTGCCTGCTTGTTTTGATCGTCTGAGAGATGAGACTTTGTTTGCTAGAACCACGGTTGATAGAAATAGAAGAATACAGATAAGAAAGAGCACTGCAATTATAATTAAGCAAATTAGTATAGCCATGTTGTTTTTGTTTTCCTCGCAGACATCCTTCTTAAAAATTTCACCGTGACTTTTGCTCGTGTGCTCAATGCTTTCTGCTGTTGGAGAACTGTTCCTGACAACAGAAGGTGTATAGCGCTCCTGTTCAGATTTAGGAGTTAAAGATACGATGTGAGATGGTGTTGATATTTCAAGAATGTTTGTAGAATTAACTTTGTAATCCACTTCAGGAGTTACAAGGCTTGTGTTAATGTTTTCATTTTGGTATCTGCGTGTGTTGTTTTTAATAACTGAATCCCAGGCAATAGTATTGTTAGCCCACAGATGTCTATAGTTTGCTTTTGTTCCAGAAGACAAAGAAAAAACTGTTGTCATCAGAAAGGCAAGATGCAGGTAATGTCCTGTGTGTCCCATGTCCAGGAGCATATTGGTAATCTGTTGAAACAGTAATATCATTTGTTAATCTGTACAGGAATAATGGTTCATAGTTTTGGTAGTTGTAGTTAAAAGACAGACAATTGAGATGTTACAAGTAAACTACAAAGTTCATGCCTAACATTAACTATTTAATTCCTTCTTAATGAATTATTTTCTATTATTCTTAGATTGAATATTTTAATTTCTATTATATTTTTGTATACTATAAATTAGCATTACAGTTATCTACTAATCATTTCAAACTGAATACCATGGCTTTACATGTATTTTTCCCTTTAAGTGTGTTGGACTTCAGCTTTGAGTTAAACACTTCTGCTTTTACTCTTTTGATTCCTCATTTAAAGAAAAGAAAACCATTTAAGGATCATTCTTGCTGAAACTCCCCACCCTCCAGCTAACATCTTTTAGTAAAGGAGAATATGGCCTTGAAAGTTTTGCTTCCTGTATGAAAGAAATGCAAGAGGCTCTCTTTTTTTTTTTTAAGGGAAGGCAGCAAAGTTTGATAGAAACCAAAAGAAAAGGAACTTGAAGTAGGAATTTGAGATGTTCTTTTTTCTTGAGTTGTTTTAAGCTTAGAGTAAAACACTACTTAAAAATATGTTCCCAGCATTTGTGAAAGCAATTTTTTGTTGGTGGTTCACATGCATTTAATGTGACTTTCTAAATGTGAGAGAATGATTTTTTTTCTCAACCTAAGAAAAATCTGACATAACAAGAAGCAGCAGATTTCTTCTGAATAATCTCAAAAATTCAACAAAAATTAACTTTTTATCATTTTGTTACTAGAATTTTTCTCTGATTTTGGCATAATTGTTAAAAAACAAACTTGATATCATTAAATGGGAAGAAATAGATCATTATGATCTTGGGGACTGTGAATGAAGTGGCAGATTATAAGCATCCCAAAATACAATTGAAAAAGTTGATATTTAGCAATAGGGAGTATAGCTTAGGTGTAGAAAATATACTTAGCATGCCCAAGGTCCTGGTTCAGTCCCTAGCTACAACAACAAAAATTGACATTTCAGTATTGGGTCAAAGCCTCCAAGAAGCCAATACCAAAAGGATACAGGTTCTGTTCCTAATTATTACCCACCCTATGATTAGAGAGGCTTAAATAGAGCTGACATTATCTATTCCATTGCTGCTAACCTACCAGAGAAGATCTGTCACCCTCTGAGGTGTCTCTTCAGTAATGTGCTGGTGTGCCTTACTTTTTTAAGAGTATTTTATTGTTTGCATTTATTTGAGAATTATAAGCAAGAACTAGATTGTTCTGAGATTTATTAAATAAAATTGCCTGGTTAGTAAGCTTGTATCTTATGGAAATTCCTTTCAAACTTGAATATGCATGGGAGTTGTCTTTTTTCCCTCTCCCTCTTTTCTTCTATTTTCTTTTTTCTTAGTATAAATTTAAACTCCCCAGTTCTTGGGTAGGGCCTGAAATCTCTAATCCATTTCCAGATGATACAGATATTGCTCTGCTGGGCATGTGTTTGAGCATCAAGGTTTTTATAAGTAACAATTATTATAAATCACTAGATAAAATCTGTATACTATTGAAATACCTAAGTTTAAAAGTGCAAATATGATAATGTCGAGTTAAAACAAAAGCAGGATATAATAAACAATGCTGATTAGAAACTAATCTTTGAAATAAATAGTAAAGAGGAAAAAAACTTTTATTAAATGTTCTAGGATCAAGATTATTTCTTAAACAAGACCTTTAATAGACTGTGAAAGAGGCACTATACTGAATAGCATTCAGCTTCAACTTTTAAGTTAAATGATGCAAATCTTTGGATGTTTTATGATATTTTTTTTCTCAAAAAGAAATACTTCAGGTTAGCAAGTAATTTCCACACTTTTGTGCTGAAATGGAATACTGCATTACGTGCTAAAATGATTTAAAATGGGTTATTCTTGTCTCATTAGTTCATTAACAATGTGTGGTATACATTACAGTACTCGTACACATTTTCACAGTGCATACCAGGGGCCAGATAATAGGCTCCCTGTTGATTGTCTTCAGCCAGATGTATTACAATGCCCAGAAAAACAAACTGATGACAAAGTGAGACTCTTACCAGTACAAACACTTGGGAGTTAAAGTCTTTTCACCGCTCTAATTTATGCGCTAAGAGGCTAGGTTATATGCTCAAAAGTTTATCTCTGATCATTTCATTACAATCTATAATACCTAACCATTAATAATAAATTCTTTTAACATTTTTAAAGAACAAATATAACTTTTTAGTTCACTTCATTTAGATCTTTCCAAATCCTAATTTAAAACTCCATATTAACAGTCATAAATCTTTCTACTTTCTGTTTACATTATTTGCATAATTTTACATATAGAACAAGAAAAAAGCAGCATAAATTTTTAATCACTTATTCTGTTAGTAAGATTTTGTATATTTTTAAAAAGTACTTCCTCACACAGTAATTTGAACAGAGTTATAAGCAAAATGACATTAAAAAAGCTATATATATGACCTACCTTACAAAATGGTTGGTCAGAATTTGATAATGTGATTTTAATAAGCCACTTCTTCTTTTATCTTCTTATTTAAAGTAGAACAGACTTGGAGAATACAAAATTTAAAGTAAATCTGCAACAAAAAAAAGGGTACATACAGCTAGCTTTCCACTTTTAAAACCAAACCACAGATGACACATTTCCTTTCCGCTGCAACTCAAGCACATGTCAGAGAGAGGGAGGGAGGGAGGGAGGGAAAACTTCAGCTTGTCTTGCTGGCTGCTGGCATGACAGGAGGCTTTGTAGAACAAATCTCCGCCTCCACAGCCGGGAGGGTTTTGCAGTTTAATGCCTTTTGACCTTTTGCTTATTATGTATACCTCCCATATTCTTTTGAGTGATAATGTTTTGTTGTTGTTGTTGTTGTTGTTTTGGTTTTTTGAGACAGGGTCTCACTATGTAGTTGAGACTGACCTGGAACTCACTATGGAGCCCAGGCTGGTCCCAAACTCAAAGCGATCCTCCTACCTCAGCCTCCTGAGTGCTGGAATTATAGGCATGAGCCACCCCACCTGGCCCCTGTTAATATTATTTAATAGATAAGATGGCATCTTTGATGTAGCATTAAAATTTCTAAAAATTTACTAGTATACCACAGACTGATTTGGAAACATGAGATTGAAGTTCTTGGGGTAGTTAGATAATAGAAGCAATGATACACTTAACTGAAATTTCAGATTGTGGAACTGAAACAGTGATTTGAGAAAATATCTAGTAAACTTAGATTACATAGAAAAAATCTTTTCATGTGATTTATTGTGTACATACATTGTCTCTCCTCAGATGTCTAAGATGAATGTTGTTGGGCATGGTGGTGCACGCCTGTAATCCCAGTATTCTGGAGGCCGAGGCGGGAGGATCACTGTGAGTTTGAGGCCAGCCTGGGCTACGTAGTGAGTTCAAGGCCAACCTGAAACACATAGGGAGACCCTATCTTAAAAGTAATTAATTATACATTTTTTTAAATGGCTCATTTTTTTCTCCAAACAGTGGTTGCCCCTCATGATCTTCTTGTTTCTATTCATGATAGCTTTCTAACCTTAAAAGCTTAGAGCAGGTCCTTTAAATTTGTGCGCTTTCTTGGACTCCAGATTAGACTTTGGGTTATGTGGCTGTTCTTTTATATTTCTGGATCAGTTTTTTTCTTGTTTTTTAGATCCTTATTAGGTACCTAGTCAAGTTTAAGTTGAGTATTTTGTATTTTGAACAGTGATTAAGAAATGTTTGTAGATATAAAGATCAGATGAAAATTTTTAAAAACAAGAAAAATGCCCCCCATATTCACATTTAGTATGCCACGGCCCAAACCAGTAAATTCTGTTTTTATCAAACACCACAGTTGATCGTGATGCCAGTGGTGTATAGAACATACTCTGAAAAATACTCAGTCCCTAGAAGAAGATCTGAATCCCTTCGCCAAACATTTACACTTTATAATTTGGCTTTTCCCAGCTATTTCTCTCAACACTTCCCTACATGAATCTTCAATTACATCTAAACTAGTTGTAGGGGCTTGGGATTTAGGTCAGTGGTTCCACTGCCTGCCTCACAAAGCACAAGGTCCTGAGTTCAATCCCTGGTACCATAAGTAAACCAAAAAAGCAGACAAACAAACTAGTTATTTATGTGCATTTAGTTACCTATATATTTTTTGCCTGGTTCCCCGTTCTTGAGTGCTGAATTCCTCTACCCATTTCAGCCACTGAGTCTTCTCTTGCACTTACTCCCACTTTGTGTTGATCTCACCCTCTTTTGAATTTAATAGTGGTATTTACTCTGCAGTTCTTTTGATAAGTGATCACATGCTACATTGTACAGGTTGACTGTCCTTTGCCCAAAATACTTGGCACTAGTAATGTTTTGGATTTGGGAATATTTGCATAACATGAGACATGTAAGGGATAATGACCCAAGTCAGAAAACGAAATTCATTCACTTTTATGTATACCTTATACACATAACCTGAAGCAGTTATGTACTATATTTTTAGTATGCATGTAGTTTGGCTGTAGCCCATCATATAATATCAGGTCTGAATTATCCACTGGTGGCATGTATTGACATTCAAAAAGTTTCACGCTGTGAGTTCGAGACCAGCCTGGGCTACATAGTGAGTTCCAGGTCAGTCTCAACTACATAGTGAGACCCTGTCTCAAAAAACCAAAAAAAAAAAAAAAAAGACATTCAAAAAGTTTCAAATTTTGAAGCATTGTGGATTTCAGATTTTCAGATTAAGGTTGCTCAATTTGTTTATTTTCTTTTATCTTGAAATATTTTTCTTTTGTTTGACAGTCATTTAACTTGTCGTATTTTTATTTCATGCCCTCCCAACAAGATTAAATTTACAAGATACCATATTTACTTTAGCAAATTTAGTAATACTATCACTAAAGTGATCAAATATAGAAAATATTGAGTTTAAGTTAGTGTAGTTATTTGGATTTGAAATTCTGGGTACCATGTTATTCACAGCTTTCTCACCATAGTTACTCATATTAATTAGCATTCTTCGGTTTTGAGCCAGGGATTTAACTCTGTGGTACCACGCCTGCATCGCATTACAAGGTCCTGAGTTCTATCTCCAGTACAAAAAAATAGTGTTGGCTGACTTACACAGCTGAACAGTCCAGGAAAAAATTGGATCCCAGGAGACACTGTCTAGGACTTAAACTAGAACTGAATTTCTCTCTTCATTTCTTAGCTCTTTCTCTTCAGTTTTTGTGCAGGCTTTTCCTGCATATCTCAAGTTTTCTGAACCATTCTCTGGTCAAGGTAGGATAGATGGGTTGACTTCAGCCTAAAGCTGTTTCGCTCCAGAGCTCCCTGGCCAGGGATTCCTACCCAAACTATTTACCTGACAGATTTGGTGGGCCAGGGGCAACCAACCAGTGCCCGCTATCTTCCCCTTTTATTAATTGATGGGCAAATTTTGTATTGTTACTGCTCAAAAGTTTTGGATTGGAGATTTGTCTCATGCCTTTTATTTTACCCTGATTTGACAGTGTCTAAAGAACAACTGAAGCAGTGTTTGATGGCGCATGCCTGTAACCCCAGCACTTGGGAGGCTGAGGCAGGAGTGAGTTCATACATAGTGAGTTCAAGGCCAGCCTAAAGTACCTAGCAAAACCCTATCTCAACAATTAAAATAAAAAAATAAAAAAAAAAAGAAGAAGAAGAAAGAAAGAATAACTGATTTAACACATTTCCCCTGACTTGAACTACCAGTGGTATATGCATGTCTGACCTATTGGGTAGCTTTTTAACAGTAAAAAGACCAATAAAACTGATTAGATCTTTTGTACCACCAGTGGTATCAGCCATCCTTTGGGACAGTTTTGCACATACCTCCAGTGATTCAAGTGACCTGGCAGTGAGATATCCAAATTATGGCCCCATTGTGAATGTGTTAAAACATTACAGCCAGGCATGTTAGTACACACTTATAATCCCAGCATTCTGGAAAGCTGAAGCAGGAGGATTTAAGTTCAAGCCTAGCCTGGGTAATTTAGGGACTTAGTGAGACCTTATCTCAAAATTAAAAGCGGGGAGGGGGCACCATGGCATACAACCTGTAACCCCAGAACTTGGGAGGCAGAGGCAGGAGGCTTGCCCCAAGTTCAAGGCCAGCCTGAACTACAATAGCAAGACTCTGTCTCCAAAAAAAAAAAAAAGACTGGGAGGGACTCAGCTACTGGCTATAGCTCAGTTCAAAAACCCTGGGTTCAATCTGCAATACCAGAAAAGGGGTTCAGGGGGTAGGGGAGAACATGAATCCAGACTTTGAATAATTGTTTTCTATTATTGTGTTCTCTAGAAAACAAATCAGAAAATTTTTAAAAAGCAATTAGTGACATCTGTATATTTATTCAGAGCTCTGTTAAGTCTTTGGCCTTTCGTTTCATTTCCTTAGGTTCAAAACTGGTCAAATCAATGGCGATTTGCTGATTTACCACGTCTTGCTGACTTTAAAGCCATATTATGCAAAGCCATATGAAATTGTAGTGGACCTTACCCATACTGGGCCTAGCAATCGCTTTAAAACAGACTTTCTCTCCAAGTGGTTTGTTGTTTTTCCTGGCTTTGCTTATGACAATGTCTCTGCAGTCTATATCTATAACTGTAACTCCTGGGTTAGGGAGTACACCAAGTATCATGAGCGGCTACTGACTGGCCTCAAAGGCAGCAAAAGACTAATTTTTATAGACTGTCCTGGGAAATTGGCTGAACACATAGAGCATGATCAACAGAAACTGCCCGCTGCCACCTTGGCTTTGGAAGAGGATCTGAAGGTTTTCCACAACGCACTCAAGCTAGCCCACAAAGATACCAAAGTTTCTATTAAGGTGTGTTTTGATTTGTGTTTTTTGAATGATTCATTGCTTTTCTTAACTCACCAGTCCTCCCAAAGTGTCATTGTAGTTATAAATCAAATGTCATTCCAGATTTAGGAAGACCAAGATTTCTATTTATAGAGGTCCTGTAGGAAATAGGAGAAGTATATACTGAATTATATCCTAGATTAGGTTGGAGGTAGAAGAATGCTATAGAAAAGGTGCTGTGGTTTGCTGTCAGTCAAATAGTAAGAATGTGGAGAGTAGAAATTACCTAATGAAAGTTGTTTTTAGTACATGACTTTTTTCAGTGAGGAACAGGAGTCTTCTGGATAAAATTGGTACTTGCCTAAAGGGATCTCAACCTTTTTTAAAAAGTAAAATTAAAGTTTTTTCTGATGTTTTGAGATTTTTTTTTTTGAGGTTATTTATCTCAATAATCATGGAACCTATTTATGTAATGGTAATAACTCCTTAAATGGCAAGCATGGTGGGTGGATGAGTGCGTGGATGGTTAGTTGGTTGGTTGGTTTTTGGAGACTCTTTGCATTCTGCATAATGGAATTTAATTATTCTCCACCCCATCCCCTCATCCTCACTTTTCAGGTTGGTTCTACTGCTGTTCAAGTAACCTCAGCAGAGAGAACAAAAGTCCTGGGGCAGTCGGTCTTTCTAAATGACATCTACTATGCCTCAGAAATTGAAGAAATATGCCTGGTAGATGAGAACCAGTTCACCTTAACCATTGCCAACCAGGGCACACCGCTCACCTTCATGCACCAGGAGTGTGACGCCATCGTCCAGTCTATCATTCATATCCGGACCCGCTGGGAGC